CCCCCCCCCCCCCCCCCCCAACGCCGGGGATGCTGCGGCTGTGTCCACGGATTCTAGCGCGGACACCGGTCCCCAGCGAGGAGGGCTACCTGACTGAGTGCTTGAATCGGAGTCACAGTCATGTCTCACTCCACTGACCGGACACGAACACTGGCGTAGCGCCTGCGCGCAGGGGGAGGGGACCTCCTGTCCCCCCTCCAAACGCCCAGCAAGCAAGCAAGAAAGCGTGTGCTCTGAAGCAAGAGAGAGGACGCGTGTGCGTATGTGTGTGGAGGTTGCTGTCGGATGGACTTTGTTGTGTTCCTTCAACCCAGGCTGGTTGATGTCACCATGCCTAAGAACGGAGTTGGCGGAGACAGGAGCATTCCCATGAATTCTGGTGAGCAAGGCGGCTTACCAGCAGGAAGCTCATGACAGAATCAGGTTCATCCGGAGCATCTTAGGATGTCGGGTTTGCGCAGAATCGCTGTCAGTTTTTGGCAAAGCTCAGGTCGGTCTATGTGGGTGACCAGCGACGGCAGCGAGTCACTTGCTGAAGTTGACCTTTCCTTAGGGATCTTTTGCCCAAGCTAGCCAGCTAGCAATTTTCAGGTGGTGGTTCCGGGACAAGGCGTTCCATGAGCCCAGCGGATGCTCAGCCGAACGTCAGTCACCACATGTCGCCGCAACGCGGAACAACCTTTCCCAGCCGAGGCGACTATCATGCCAATTGCTTCTTGCATTTTCATCAATTCTCGGATCCCAGCAACTTAATCTTCAATGATGCCTGCCTGCAATCGGCCGCCGGGAGCTGTGCATTCTCCTCAGTCTGACGCCACTTTCTATACCTTGGCTTTTGTCGTTCAACCGATAGCAAAATACAGAATACATTACAGCATGTTTCATTATAGTATAATTTTGCAACATTACATTACATTGCAAATTATGGTCTATATCTATATATATATATATGTGTGTGTGTATGTATATTATACTGCATATTACCTTATATATATATATATATGGTAATATATATATATATATGTGATATATTACATATTAAATTTCATCTATACATGTACATATACATATGTGTACATATACACATATTTTCAATCAGATTCTGTTGTTTATTTCCTATTATACGATACGATACTTTAGTATATATTACAAGTTATACGTGATGTTATCATATCATGAGGAGGTGCAGCTCTTTAGGTTTAGCATTGTTAAGACTAGATGTTGAAGGGTGTATATTATAATATATACATATGTGTACACATGTTGTATTGAGTTAATATATATTGTATTATGTTGTACATTGCTTTGTTTTCATTTTGTAGTTATATTATATTATATTATATTACGGTTTACTTGTCGTTATTGGGTTCCTGTATAGAAAGCCCTCAGGATGCTTCCTGTTATGTCAGATCATATCTAATTTGCCTATCTCAGGATATGGTATGATGTCAAGTTATGTTTCAGTCTCTTGTAACACTTCATTCTTTTGTGACATCGTGTTTTATACTGCTACATAAAAATCAGTCTGTTATGCTAAAGTGTAGTGTAGTGTAGTAAGTACAAAACGTAAAGCATTGTCTAGTGCAGTTTAGCATGGTATAGTGTGGTATAGTATAGTGTATAGCAGATGTTGCAATGTGCCTTTGTTACAGTACAGTTTAGTCATATCATGTGTTGCCATATTACGCAGATTGTATTTAATGGGGCCATCGTCATTAGGCCGTTCCTGTGCACATGGCAGTGTCATGCCCATGCACACTCCAAGCTTACGAGGATGCCAGGTCCTTCTCACCAGGACCCGGTACAAAGATACGTATACAGTTATACTTAATGCAGGTAGGTGCTTAAGAGCTGCGATTTGCATTACAGAGGTATTTCTGCGACCCTGGCCATGTAAGGACGCATCGTGCGCTGCTCACAGCCACAGATACCTGTGCCAGCCCGACATGAGGTGCCTGGTCATGTTACCAGCTTGGGCCCGGTATCAGTAGGACACACTGCTGATGCCGTGGTTTGTTAGCAGTACCTCGTGCATGCCGGGGTTGCATTGGTGCTATCGCACTGCAGCCTGCGCGCTGAAGCCGCGAGGATACGTGCGCAATCTTTTCAGAGCCGTCGCCGTAGCGCTGTGTGCCAGGCATACTACGACCACCACGACCACTGAACCTGGAAAGAGTTCGGCCAAGCATGCCGCGGTGCTACACAGCATCTCGGTCAGTGAAAACTAAGACGAGCTGCCCAACGCAGATCACGACTTCTCCGCATCGCAGCATGAATGTACACTGCGACGTGATTGCACTGCGCAGCTGTGTGCGGCAAGGCATGGTCTGGGCTTTGGGCTTCATATGGATGCGTGCCTCTGGTAAGTATGGTAAGTGAGAGTCGCTTCATGTGCAGTTGCAGCCCTAAGCCGGGCAGTCACGGTCTGTCAATGAACATTGCCCGAGGCTTGCCGGCATAGCGCAGCCCTGCTGTGCTGCTGCCGTCTTTCTGACAGAGGGATCCTCCTGCGGGAACTGCTTCAAAGACTGTACAGCTAAGAAGCACGTTCCCGAACCCGAGCTATGTGTAAACGGCTCTTCTCAGAGTGAGGCTTCCCGGTATCGCTATACAGAGCCGTAGGTTCCGTGGATGCTTCACGGAACGGCTACTGCAGCTGTCCTCAGCCGAAGAACGGTCTGCCAAATTGGGGGAACTGAGCTAAGCTTGAGCCGGAGGCGGCAACGAAAAGGTGATCGGAATAGGGTGGACTCTACAGTCAAGTGAACTTAGTCACAATCCCATTTGAATAAGAGTCTTTCGTTCCTGCTATCCTAAGGCATCGATCACTTCTGCATCCATGCAGGTCGGGTCGGGGCTTGTAAACGATAATTGAAGACCTCCCGGTGAGCGTCTTTGAGCCTTTGAAGGTGGCCGTGCAGTGATAGAAGGCGTGCAGCAGAACCTCAACCTCTCAGATCGCCAGATCAGACCGACCCTTGTCAGCAGGCGTTGCAGGTCTTTAGCTTTGGGTGGCGATGGCAAGCTTTGCATAGTTCTGCTGCGTGAGGTCAGTTCAAACCCTGCACGACTGGGGGAACACCTCCTCGTCTTCAATCTGGTACGAGACCGACTGGATTGAGAGATTTGGAGCACCTCGGAAGCAGGAAGCAGAACGACGGGTTGGCAGTCAGACGCTCCCTTTTGAGGACCTGCATCCTGGGGAGCGAATCTTGCAGATCTCGTTCGGCAGCGGCTTCAAGTGCAACTCTGCGGCTTCTGGCCTGCATAGCATGCACGTTGGACCAGCAGGAGAACGGTTTGTGCGTGTTTGTGCCGAGGTTTGGGTGGCCCTTCGCGTGGACAAGTCCAAGCAAGGATGCAAGAAGGGCTGGAAGAAGGGGCTCCGGTCGGTCTGGCGATGTGGAAGACAAGGGTTTGGGGGCCAGAATATTTGGAATAGCGGTTTGGGGCATATTGTAGTGTATCTGCAAGGGAACGATAGGGGATGATATCGGTGACATGTTGCATGGACAGCCGTGGCGGAGAGGAAAGAGGGTCTTCGCAAGGCTTGTCTGGCACGGTTGTTGCAGGAAAGCCATTGAAAGATGAGGTAGCTGAGCCTCTTGTGCCCTCAGCTGCAAGAGTCGAGACCATCAAGTGTAGTATTTTCCCATAGTTGGGGGTTTCCGAAAATAGGGGACCCTAATGTAGTACCCTAAATAGTAGGATCCTTATTGTAAGGACCCCAAAATAAGGTACCCCCAATTTTTGGAAACTCCCAATTCATTCCTGTGATCGGCAGATCTTGGCCACATGCGCCAAGACACGTGGAGCTTCTACAAGGTCTAGTGTTGGAAGTGTGATCGTTTGCAGGGAGGACCTGGGGGGCATATTTGCATGTGCATCCGGTTCATCTCCAAGGGAGCCACCTACAGTAACACATTTCCATTGGCCGGCCCTCTGCAGTTACCCAGAGGTGGTCCGAGGGCGAGCCTTACCACTCAAATTGGTGCCAGAAACAGGGCCATGTCTTGGTGCAGTAGTTCCGGCCCGTTTTTCTGTCCACCCACTTAGCGTTCAGAATGTCACCTGACTTTTTTTGGATGCTGTTATCTGGACTTCAAGAAAAGATCACACACAACGCACACACACACACACACGCACCGGAGTGTTCAGAACCTGTACAGTGCCCTTCAGCGTGCAGCTCGATAGGTGGATGACATTGTCTTAGCCCCTTCGCATTCCTCATATTGAATTCATATATATATATATATATGTATATCGAGTGCGGGCGTCGGAGAGGGTTGGAAAAAAAAAATATATATATATATATATACATATATATATAGAGCGTGTGTTTGTAGTATACTGTAGTTTATATTGATGTATACTGTATTTTATTTCAACATATTAGATTATGTTCCGTCTTGGTTGGAGCTTGGGTCCGGACCTGTGAGAGTGCAAGCTGTGAGCTCGATCAATCAAACCAATCTCCGACTTCTGGTGATTTTCTACTGCTCGTTCGGTCACAGAGTTCACTGACCTTGTGAAACAAGAAGCGTCCGAGAACCATGCCCCGATGTGCGAGAAATTCTAGCAAGTGCAACAAATAACAATCACGTCCGCAAGTCCCCATACCGCTGTGTAGGATGGCATCCAGGCAGTGCCCGCGGCAAGCCTAATCTACGTGATCTAAGACGTTAGTCACTCCTTTGGAATTTGTCTCACACTCCACACAGAGCGCACATGCACCCCTATGCGTGCACACACAAACACACAGAGCTATGCAAAGGCACCTGAGCAATACAGCAGGATCTAAGCTACTGTACTGCCACACCCAAGTCGCACAATGCTGAATTTAGTTTGATAGTTTACTGATAATGTCCGTAAGCAAGTTTACTGAGTTTAGTGTGGCACGCGGGTTATCATTCATTGATTGTGTTGTGCTCGGAATCACTCCACCATCGACACTCAGGTGAGCAATGGAGATGCCTGTGCGACATCCGAAAACGGGGTGGCTGTGAACGGCAAAAGTTGTCACACAAACGGCGTCTTAGCTGCATGCCGACACTGAACTGTAGACATGCAAGTCATGTCATGCGAGTCTGTCCGTGCAAAGGTTTGCATAGCCATATCTGAGGCAAAAGCATCCCCACGAATGGAACACATGAAGAGAAGAAGAGCCAATAGCTCCAGCCGAAGGCGGAGCCGAGGGGATGGATGACATGTAGGAACAGCAAGCGAGAGGAAGCGAGAGAGAGAGAGAGAGAGAGAGAGAGTGCCTCTTTATAGCGTTGCATGATCTCTGCAGGCCTTCAAAGATGTGGCCAGAATTCCTCGGCGTTGCAACCTGACCTCTGCTCATTCGCTCATTTGTCCAGCACTTTTATGTGGGCAGCTTCTTGAATATCGGATGCCAGAAAAAAGCGGGGCATTCTCGACACGGAAGGTGTCTAGCATAGACGGGCAAAGCGGTCGCAGGAGGCTATACAGGGCCTACGGACCGTGCCAGGCAGAATTCATGCATCTTCTGAAGCATCAAGCTGGGCCGAGACGAATGCGATTGGTCAGTTTCAATGCAGTTTGTGGCTTAACATGGGGCCTGCGATCCTTATCCTATCCCATGCTTGTTGCGATTTTGCAATGCTTTGCCCGCCGTAATGCCGGCTTTGACGGGCGAGTGATTTGCTCCATCACGTTCAGCCCTAAATCCTTGACCATGCAGCAGTTCGGGTCCGTGTGAGCTGCAATTGAACCTGCAGCTTGTGCAGGTGAAACCCTGCGACGGCCTGCCACAGGCTTCGTACATTTTTTAAGGTCTCGTACGTAGAATATAGCATAACCTGAAAATCAGTGTGTTATCGTACTTTATGCCACCGTTACAATATTACAGATATTACGGCATGATACAGTAAATTGCATGGAAGACCTTTCTCCCAGTGTCGTCCGCTGTCTCTGTGTACGGTTTATGTTAGTAGTGCGTTCGACTTCCATGCCACGGTGCTTTTCTTTCAGACACTTGTTTTCAGATTGCTTTTTTGGTGCTGGACGGGGGGGTTTCCGCTAGACTCTTGCTTTCAGAAAAGTGTTTTAAGAGCTCCCATTCCTCATTCCCCCGTGTGTGTTGTTCGGAAACTATACAATGCTTTAGGCTTTCTGAAGACAACACAGAGCAATAAAGTATGTATGTCACCCGTTTCCATCGGCCTCTTCAACATGAGCCGCCATGCTACGAGACCTCCAGGTTTTTTTCGCCGGCTGTTCATGCAGAGTCCACTTTCCTACATACCAATACCGTATTACCCTTTCATTTCCAAAGGTTGCTTGCTTATGCCCGTGTGTCGGAAAGGGTGCTGTCCGGTCATGCCTTTTTTGGCCGCAAGCCGCAGAGTCGAAAATCCGAAACAGTTTAGTTGTGAGGATTGTGCTTGGGCACTTTGTGCATGCGGAGTCTCGTCGTCATTCTTTCCAGGGGCAGCGTGTCCCTGAGTGCAACCATCGCGACAGCAGTGCGGCGTCCTCAGTGCGTTGCTTGTTTACACCTTCACCTGCGGTTGCAGGGTGCAGCCGTATGCAGAAATTGCGGTTACATGTGACACTGTCGTAGTAGAAGTACGTAGACGTAGTAGTACGTAGACATAGTAGTACGTAGACGTAGACGTAGTCGTAGTCGTAGTCGTAGTCGTAGTCGTAGTAGTAGTAGTAGTAGTAGTAGTAGTAGTAGGAGGAGTAGGAGTAGGAGTAGGAGTAGGAGTCGTAGGAGTCGTAGGAGTAGTAGTAGTAGTAGTAGTAGTAGTAGTAGCAGCAGCAGCAGCAGCAGTAGTAGGTGTAGCAGCAGCGGCAGCAGTCGTAGTTGTAGCAGTAGTGGGTAGTGTTCGTCGTGTAGTAGCGGTTGTAGTAGCAGAAGTAGAGCAGCAGCAGCAGCAGGAGTAGTAGCAGTAGTCGTCGTCGTAGTAGTAGTAGTAGTAGTAGTAGTAGCAGAAGAATACGTCGGCGTCGTAGTAGCACTAGTGTCTAGTAGTACCTACTGCCGCGCCGGGTCTACTGTGTCAATGATGACAATTTCCGCGAGAATCGTGACTTAGACATTCAGAGACAAGAACGAGAAGAACCCTTGCAACCCTTGCCCGCACCGCTCCAAGGTAGAAAATGAGCGGGCTTTCAGCTCAAAGCGTGGCGAATGTGTGGCAGGCCGTCTAACTTTGCTGCACATCCTGCGAGCATTTGGTCAGTCAGTGGTCTGTTTGTTCTCTGGTGCCTTGATAATGTACTGCCCTAGCGCAGCACCACATCCCCGAGCAAACGCCTAGCAGCGCTAGCAGTGTCAAAGATGTGATCTACCTGGTAGACTTTGCAGAAGGACTACCTAGGACGGACTGCCACCAGGACTGCTAATGGTCGTAGTGAGACTGCCAGCAAAGCAGAAAGTAAATCGGATTTGTTCCAAGTTTATTTCGGATCCATAAACTTCTACGGCGGAGCTATACACCACACGCAGTTGATGTGGGAAGAGACACTTGAAAAGACGTCACATGAAGAAACCCCCGTAAAGTACCTTACCGGATACTCCAACAATAGCGCCCGTATGCAAAGACTGTTTTAGCGCATCTGTAGAAAGTAAACATCCTTCTGCTGCGCCAAAGTCGTGTTTTCCCCTAATGTCATTCGATTGACGATACGACTTCCGAAAATCCCCTTTACAGTCTTCATATACTGTACCAAGAATTCGAACAACTAGTAGACCGGTAGCAAGCGCACGCGGCAACAGTAGTTCGGTAGCAGTAGGAATAAATCGGAACCACAGCGATTGACGGACAGCGAAAGCAAGAGTTTCAGTAATCGCTCTGGGTAGTCGTGCTTTTGAGCGAAACTGGCATCGTTAACAGGCTTCTGCGAATATGGTCGTGGCGGGCGAAGCAGTGCCGGCGACTGTGTGGCTGGGTGACTTCCGAATCTTTCACAGCGACTTTCATGAGAGATTCACAAGGTGTAGCCCGGTATTCCAGTGACGTCCGTTGGTGTTGAGATTGTAGTCAAGCTGCTGCAGTGGTTCTGCAGTTCATCAATCCCTGTCAGAGCTTCGGAAAGCAGGCTTGCACAAGACACACTTGCCAGGCAGTCCCCCCCTTCCAAGGCTAGCGGCCACACCCGCAAGCAGCAAAGCGAAAGCTACAGGGCCCTCCGCACAAGGCAAGATTCCCCAGTGATTCACGGTCGGCCTTCTGGGGGCCAGCGCGATTGTACAACATCTGCCAGGGCTGAGCAACAGCGTCTGGTCACCTGCTGTTCCAGAGCTGTTTGAGCAGCTTGCGCGGAACCCTCAACTTCTGGAACTTGCATTCTGTTTGAGTGTTTGAGAAATTGGGTGGCCTTGGCAAATTCAGCTGATCTGCATCAAAGGCTGGCTGCTGTGGTGGAGATCACGAAGTCTCGTGCGCAGCCAAACATCTGGATGTTCAATGGGCTATTGGGTGCTGAGTCGTGTCATGCGAAGCTGCGACCCAGGAGTGTGGGAGTCCAGCGAACAGAACACTGCCAACAGTGGTGCGTGCCTGAGGAAAGAGTGTTCTGAGAATGCGCTCATTCTCGTTTGTTGAGCCTGTTGGTTGTGACTTTGGAACGACATGCAGCAGTTTCACATGCCTGACGCGCCTGGTGTGCTTCCTTCTGTGGGAACCTGTACTGACCGACTCTGCCCATGGCTTGTCATTTACCAGACACCCTTCAGGTCGAAGTTTCGCCAGCCCAAGTCACAGGCAGACGACGTCGCTCAATGCTCTCTCAGCTCAGGCCATCGCCAGTCTAATCTGTCGTCAACTGGGTTCTTGTTAAGGGATTTAATTTAAGTTACCATAATAAGGAAACCATATTATTTACTATAGATCCCTATTATGGTAACTTAAATTAAATCCCTTAACAAGAACCCAGTCAACGAAACGTCAAGCTTCAGCACGACCTGTAGCATCTGACGCTGGGACCTGGAGCCTGCAGGCAAGAGAAACGTTGCTGGGCTGGCAGGACATGAGCCGTGTGTGAGATCATAGCATACCTCCCAACCGCACACATGCTAAAACTACTATTCATGACATATATAATGCTCCTAAATCTAATTGTCTAAGTAACCTTTAAACATCAATGACTGCAGGAGCAGGGCCTCTCCAACCTTGCACTGCGCCCAGTCATCCTTTGGCATTCAACTTCTCTGACCCTGAAGCGTCCTCTGCAGTGCTCTTAACGAAAGCGGCGTGGTGTTTGTACTCCTCGTTGGATTTCTCTTCGTGCAGTGGAGAAAGATTAGGATACCGCAGTGGATGTTTTACAGACGGTGACTGTTGCGGCTTCTCCTGATGTTCATGATGATCCTCTTCCCGCACAGAACAGAGCACATGACCGTCTCAACAGATCTCAACAGTTGCATTGGCCATGGAACATCGCGGAGTTTCAGAATTCGGAGACATATACGTGGCAAGACTTCTCTTGTGTGAGATGGTTCTCGTCAAGCGAATACTGTTTCGAATGAGGTGAATGATTCTTCTACTTTGCCGTCTGTTAGCAGAGTGCATGCAGACGACGTTGCCTTCCAAGAGCTGTCAGTTTTTCAGTTTGATGACATGGGCTAATCCGCTTCCCTTGTCAGGGCGATTTGGCATCGGCTAAGTTGTCCTTGTCAAGACAAACTTCTCTGACCCTGTAGGCTTGTGCTGGAAAGGGTAAGCTGCTCATACACCGGAGGCGTGAACCTCTGCACGGCTTCGTCTTCAGGCTTTGGGCAGGGTCCGATTTGAGAGAACCGTTGGGGTATGTGGATTCTGAGCCCGGATGAGGAGTGTCAAGAGCTGACGAAGTGTATCTACGATTCTGCACTTCTCTCTTTGCACTGGACCAAAGCCAAGCTAGATCAGAATCAGAGGGTTCCATGACGCAGAAACAGCATTTTTCGGCGACCGAAGCCGGGACCGAGCAAAGGAGCACCAAAAACACAGGCACGGCCGGCGAGGCTGCAAGCGCGACACCTCCCAACGATTTCTTCCAACGCCCAAGCCGGAGCCGCAGCAGCCTGTGGCTGGGTTGCTGTCAGAAGCAAGAAACCGGAGCCCTCCCTCCCTCGCCCTCGCCTTCGGCTTCTGCTCAGCCAGGATGGCCCTGTCTTTGCAGTTCCCACGTCAGCAGCCACCAAGCAGCTGGCTAGGCTTACTCTCCAGGGCTTGGCCAATGCACGGGCCCTTGAAAGAGCCGCGCGGGTGTCTTGAAGGAAGCCGAGATCTAGGCATTTTCAGGGCCAAATAGACAGGGACAGCG